ATAAACGCAAGCCTGATAAGAATAGTAGAAGAATAAAGACTATCGTATATGTGCTCCATCCATCATATAGATGTTCAAAAAATATAGGTTGAACGTGTTAAGTATGTTAACTAACGTTATCACTAATCAATCAAATCCTCAGCTCGATTTGGGCCAAACATAAATACAAGAATTAACTATAACAATAAATCCTATCTTGAATCACTAGAACAGCATAAATTCAAATTTAATACTGAAATTCGAACAGTAAGGATATTTTCGAGAATTTATCGCATGCGTGGAACGGACGATGTACAAGAAATTCGAATCTTTGTCCTCGGACGAATAAACTCTTCGAAAGAGAAATATCCCACGTACGTAGAAAAATAAATTTAACGATCTCCAGTTAGTTGAACTTAAACCTCTCCGTTTGGATCGAAGAGGATCGGGAAAAGGAAAGGGAAAAAGAACGATATATAATAGAAAGGAGGGCGATATCCGAATTACGAGAAGATGAATTACGTACACGTCGGTTGCGCGCCATCTCTCTGGGGGGCCATTACTCGGCCAAGTATATCCGCGATGAAATGCAAGCGATACCGGTTTCTAATCGTCTGTGAAAGAGGTCTTCTACCCGCGTTCCGGTAAATCGTTTCGCGAGCGGGCAAGAAGAATCGGATGAATGGGCAGATATCCACTACTATTACTATTACTACTACCGCTGCTATTACGGATCGGGAGTCGTTGGACGGTGGAAAGACTTGGAAGGGGCGAGAAAATGGAAGACGAGGAGGGAAGGGAGGAGGAAACGATAACGGCCCTGCTGGAAACAATTCGCTCGGGGGCAATGTTCCGGAAAGGAGGGAAGAAGTTTCAGTTGCCGCGACAGAAATAGCGGCCCATTACGCTTCCTTGCCTCCGCTCTCGTCACGTTTCAAAAGGGTGTCGACGAGGGACCCCCTGGGATCGTGGAAAAGGCGCGAGACAGTGATTTCAGATGTCGTCGATCGAGAGAACGGTTCCACGATGGGAACAGGGATGTATGGATGTATCCGGACTATCTTCCAACGATCTTCAACCGACTACCGTCTTCGTTTCGTTTTCTCGCATAGGGGAGTGGAGAGGATCTTTCGAGGATTCCATCGAGGGAAAAAACCAGGGTGGAATGAAAAAAGACACCGTTACCCTTCGTTCCCTAAACGGAGAACCTAAAGAGCCAAAAGAAGTTCTCCATTTTCACGGTTGGCCAGCAAACTGCAACTCCATTAACCGTATATATCGCCGTTTCCGGTCGAGTTCCACGCAAAAAAAGAATACCAAAAAAGAAGAAGAGGAAGAAGAAAGCAAAGGCAAGCCTGTCGAGACGAGAAATTAAACGTCGTTACACTACACGTTATGGGGAACAGGTCGATCACGGGTGGCGCAATTTTCAAAATCGAGGGGATCGTGGAGAAAGAACTTCTCTCGCGGTAGCGGCCGGTATTTCATTACCCGACCAACGCTCGAGAAAACAACAACAACGTGGAACGACTGGCCGAAGGAGGAGGGAGAGAGGTTATACTCGGGCCGCGGTAACATAGTTAGTGTAGAGAGTGTAGCCGGAGATATTGCGCGAGCACGGCAACTACGCTCGGGAAGAGCGAGTGGAGGAGGTGGGAGGAGGATGGATATAATAAGGAGAAAGAGAAATAGAGCGAGGGAAAGGGGAGGAGACGAACGAGGAGAACAGACTGAGGGGCGCGAAGGTTTAGAAGAGCCATCTAAAGGTGGATGGAACGAAAGAGGGGAAGAGTCGGAAGTACTCTCGTGTCAAGAGGAGATTCTGAGTGCTCTTCTGAGAGACGACCATGCACAGCGCGCGAGAAAGAGAGAGAGAGAGAGAGGAGGGGCAAAAAGATATATATATACACACGCACACGCACACACAGAAAGACGAGATTCGACGAAACGTAAGGGATGGGAAGGAGAGGAATAGTTTGCACGTGTGTTGTGCAGGCGTGTTGGTGTGTTTACGAGAGAGTGTGCGCGCGAGTGAGATGGGAAGAGTCACTCGAAGCCCTCGCGACTTTGTCAGCGGTACACGGGGCCTAAGTGCGAACGTTCTTGCACTCGTGTGTCGTCCCAAGGAGAGAGAGACGAGGACGCGCCGCCTGCACAAGTGGATCTTCGAGGTCAAGATCGAGGGTTCCGCGAGTTTCAGGCTTAAGCACGATCGTTTGCGTCACCGTTCTATTGCGGCCCGCTTGAAATATCCTCCTCCTCCTCCTCCGTGTAGCGCGCCGCCGCCGCCATTCTCCGCGTTTCCATTGTCATCCCCCCCGCCCCGCCTCTCTTATGCGACTACCCTTGCGTCTCGCCCTTACAGCAACCGCGTTGCTATCAATTTTCTCGATTGGCATTGGGCTTTCATTCAACGAATTTCCACGAGTTGTTGTTATAATTTATTTGAGAATGGCATCGAGAATTTTCCGTTCGAGCATATATAGTAAAGATAGAAATTCGTCGTATTTCGATGATAAACGGTGAGAGGTGTAAAAGTTTCATCGTGCGATAGTTATCGTGTGGTAAGTTAAATATGTATGCGTGGTATGTTAAACAAGTTTAGCCTTTTGCTTGCCGAGCCAGTCGTATGAATTTACACGTTGAGATAGGAAGTGAGCACACTTGATGAATAATACTTGGGAAAATAAATGTCACGGGACGAAGTTATTGACCGAACAAAGGTGGGTCACCGATTCAATAACCGCGACTGAACAATGTATATATATATATATATATATATATTATACAGTTTCGAGTTTAAAAAGTTTAAAAGTTAAGATTGAAAAAAAAAAAAAAAAAAGAATTCTTACTAACACTTTTTCACGCGAATTAACATAATTAATTATAGGCGTTTTCGATTCCCAACGAGGAGTATTAATTTTTATCATTAATTACTACTTAAGATACTCTCTCACTCGGCGTAAAATCAAACAAATTATAGATTTAAAAAAGATCTACTTTTTATCATCCGTTTATATTCCAAGCTTGGAATGTTATTTTCTCGTGAAAAAAAAAATTATCAAAAATCGGAAATCGAACGGCAAACAAGCCCCGAGAGAATTTCGATTATTGGCAGAGGCGGTTATTGAAACCGCTCGTTTCGAAACTTTGCAACCTCCCTCCGACAACTTGCAAAACAGCTTCGTTTGCTCGCTCGTGGTAATCGAACGGAATGCAAAGCGAGAATCGTCTCATGAGGATCCGGTTGCGAACGCCTTCCCATAAGAAGCCGGAGATAAGGGGAACAGGTAGGAAAACAAGCGGCCGGATTGCAAAAAAGAAACACGACTCGGCCGAACGAGAGCGATATTTCCTCGAAAACCTCGGTTGCAACGTTCGATACGCAAAATATTCGTCGGGGGAGGGGGACGAAAGGTGCTGACCGCGCGAAAACAAAGCGAGACACGGAGGTCAGCGGCTTTTGTAAATCGAATCCCGACATTTGCCCGACGACAACTCGGTGTCGGGATATCGTTTTCCTCACGTCGAGAGAAATCTTCGGAACACTGACATTTCTTTTTCTTTTTCACGAACAGAATTATTATACAATTTCACGATAGTAATATTTTAAGTTTTAAGAAAGAAAAAAAGGATAAATTTATAACGAGAGAAAATAATGTATAATTCGTCTCGGGATCTTATTACGAATAATTTTGGTTTGTTTTTTTTTTTTTTCCTTTTTTAATCGTATCGAATTTTTAATCAATTCATCACCGATCCCTGTTTGTTTCTCGCGTAGTAGTCGCGTTGCAAAGGAAAAATTCAAGCGGATCAAGAGAGAAGTTGACGAAGAAAACTTGGCTGATTACTGTCAGGGAGTCGATTGTTCTTTGTAACCGTTGCGAAACGGTTTTATGGGGTCATGCAGGTCATGCAACCTAGAGAATTCTTTCTTTTTCTTCTTCGTTTTCGAGCAAGAACGTAGAACGAATGGAATAATAAAGCGTCTATCTGTTCAATCTAAATGATTAGCCTTTCAGACGGGTTGAGTTATTAAATACCTTCGATTATGTAATAATAATTCGCCGCAGCGGAGGGATAGTGGAAATATATAATAAATAGGAGTTAGATTTATCGAGTGATTGGTTTCGTTTGGTATACAATAACACACCTCGATTAATTTCTTATCCTTTTCCTTTTCTTGTTGCTTAAAACGCTTATAATTATCCACACCGGCTACGTACACAGCTAAACGATATAAAAAAGCAATTGCAATTTCACGGGTCTTAATGAGGTATACGCTTAATTAAGGATACATCTATCACTTGTGAAGCGTGATGGTGCAACAACGTGCAAAAACATTGATCTTCTGACTTTTTACTCTATTATTTCCTGCTTCGAATGGAATGTAAACCATGTATCATACTAATTACACGGTTAAATCAAAACACGTTTTAACGGCTTACGAGAATTTATATAAGTAGATTACCAATTATTACCAAAAGCAATTATTTATCCAATTTCGAAAATTTGGATAAAAATTTTCATTCCAACGGTGCGAACATTCACGTTCGAGTAGAGTCGTTCGAATCTCACCGTTTATTTATTTATTTATTTATCGCGTCAATTTTCTATCTACGTTGAACAAGAACACGTAAAGTTCCATTAAAACGTGAATAAAAATTATTATCAATATTAATCCACGAGAAAAACACCATAATCTTTTCACTTTTCCTTTTTTAAAACGAAACGCCAGATATTTCAAAATTCTTCTTTTTCTTCGCTTTGTCGATATTGGAGGAGTTTTATAATTTCGAGGAAAAAACACTCACCTCCATTGTGCTTCAAATCGTCCGCCTGACGATGGATGTCCGGTTTGGTCAACATTGAAAGGGGATGAGCTGCTGTGCCGCCAGCGGTTGCCGCGGCACCCGGCGGTATGCCTAATCCGAGAAGTGCTGCGGAGGCTGACGTAGGAACGGGAAGGCCGGCTCCAGGACCAAGCCCGGGAAGGCCAGGTATGCCTGGATGCGGGCCCATCGCTGCGCCAGGTGGTAGTTGCTGGGCGTGCACCTGCTGAAGAAGCCTCGGCAGGTCTGGCCTTTGTTGCTGTAACGGATCGAAGAAAGTCGACTTTTATCACCTCGAGGAGCATCGTTTACCTATACTCTGCGAGGTAAAAAATGGTTCGAGCAAACACATTCTCTTCGTGAAACACGCTTTTGCATTTATTTTCTTGTGAATGACAATTTTATTTAAAATTGTAAAAATACGGATTTAAATTAATCATTGTGAAAAGGTAGGCAGATTCGAAGTCGATTTTATTTTTCATCGTCGAGAATAAAAATGGTTATTCCAAGGTGAGCCAATTAAAATTATTTATCGTCGAAAGGGAGATAAAATTAAAATGATACGAGATAAGATGTAAGAGTGCGCGTAACATACGAAACGAGTGTTTATTGATAGTTGTGAGAGGGCGTTATCTGTAATCTGTTATTTATTGAAACGTTAAGAAAAAAAAAAAAAAAGAAATAAAATAAAATGTTATAATAAAACGATCAATCACTTTCGATTCGATAGAAAATATTTACGACAGCAAGTAAATTGTAGAATTACGGTGTTGATTAACGTTGCCAAGTTTTTTTTTTCACGTTTCGGCGCGTGATTATTTATTAAATCGATATAATCGACAAGTGTATCGAGATTTCTCCCGGATAACGTTCCCAATCCAGAAATCTAATCTTTAAACAACAACCGATGACACGCCGATTTCACACGAGTGGCCCGAGATTAGATTCGAATCGATGGCATCATCATCACCACCATCGTCGAACAATAATGAAACGCGCCTCCCTTCTCACGATATTTTTTATCGTGGAAAAAAATCCTCCAGCAAATATATCGTTTCGAGATATCACGTTCGAGATAGCAAGGAAGACAGAGAGAAAGAAAGGAGAAAGAAAGGAGAAAAAAAGAAACGAAATCAAAGATCGTCCAAGATTTCCTTCCATTCCGACATCGAATCGTTCCAGATCGGAAGAAAGGAGGAAAGGGAAAGGAAAGAAAAAGAAAAAAAGGAAAACGTTGCAGTCATCGATCGTAATTTAATTTTCCCCGCCTGTTACCCCTGTGAGGAGGCCTCTCGTTACCGCCACAACTTTCCACAGGGCAGGGAGAGGGCGTACACAAATCACGGTGGCAAACTTCCACCGTCCCGTTTAAATAACCCTCTTCGTCCTTCGGTGAGACGAAGAGGTAAAACCGAAAGTACGAGACAAGTGGCGGGCGCGACTTTATTGCGGCCAAACCACGAAGAGAAGGAAAGAAAGAGATGGAGGGAGGGAGGGGAAAAGTTTCGACGAAACGGCCATAAACGCACTGCCTCGCGCCGGTAGTTTCCTCGTTAGTCGGGGGTTGGGCTGAGTTTCAGACAAATTGTGGAGGCAGCGCCGTTTTAACGCTCGAGCTAAGGATCGAAGAGGGGCGGATGGAAGAAGGAGGAAAGAAGGAGGAAGGAAGGAAGGAAGGAGAGTCGAAAAGCGCGCCATCCACCCTCTGGCAAACTGGTGTACACTCGTTAAGGCAGGGCCGAATATTCGTGGGGGGTGGTTTGCCGAGATAATTAAATGGTTTAACGATATAATAAGAGCGACTGTCTGAGCCGCAAAACGCGGAAGAAAGAAAGAAAGAAAGAGAGGGTGGGATGGGTGGTGAGGGGAACGAAAAGAGAGGCGAATACGACGATAATCCTGACCTTAGGCCGTCGTATTCACGTGGAGAAGATCATTTTCCGCATTTGTGGCGGGTTTTAACCCTTCGCACGTGGACTTCATGTGGGGAGGTTGCTCGAAAACTTTAGACGTATTTTTGTGTATTTTTTTTGAAGAGCGATTCGAAACGATATAATAACTCTTATCGATACGAAATTTCGAGATTAACTTGGTTCTCGACGGTTTTACTATTCGTATATTATCTGCCAAAAGTGACGATAAAGATATAAAAGTCGAGCCGCCAATCCCTATGAATTTGAAGTTTCTGAATTTTATAATTATTGTATAATTCGTAATGGAGGCATTTTATAATGCGAAAGCCGGGAAAACTTTAATCACGTTTAATTTTGTTTCGTGAAAATGGGCAACCAACCCTCACGTGGAAACGTTTAAACGAAAAATTATTGCCGGTTTACCTCTCTTCTTTCGTCCCGAAGTCAATTTACCTCGGCGAAAGAGTTAAAGCCGGCAAAGCCTGAGTTATTTCAATCTGGAATTTTTGCGCGCCGAACGCGGTGGGTCTTCTTTTGTGAGTGGCGGCAAAAGAGGAAGTCATTACGAACCCCTTCATCTTCACGCGAGCCTTCTTGCGGCACCTGCATCCATCCACCACCAACGCGCGACGAGCCTTGTTCTCAGCAGTTTTCACCGGTGTCGTTGATGCTTGCTGACTCAACCACCCGTGAAGATAGTGCCGTTAAAAGATCCAAAGGGATCGTCTTAACCTTCTTCCTCCTCTTCTTCTTTCTGTATCACACATCGTTGACGCTTGAAAAGCATCTTTGGCCCCGGCTCCTTCCTTCACGGGTTTATGAACGTCAGCAGCAGCATCGTCTGCGCGTTCCAACTTTATAAACAGATCATTTTCTCTCGCTTCCGATCGATTTTTAAAAACTCCTCTTGAAAAGGGGGCAGACGATCTTCGGTATTATTTTAAAATTAAAACGAAAGCTAACTATAAGCTATTTTCATTATCTGCGATCGAAATCGAACAGTTGTTATTGAAATGTAAAATCTTGGCGTTCAGTTTTTCGTTAGAATTTCGTTAAGAATCGAGTTTGAATCGTTCGATTTATTATTGACGCGTATAAATCGATACATATATATATAAAAACAATTTTTCAAGAAACGATTTTTTCTTTTTTCAAGATAAGCGTATTATTAGAAAAAGAATAAACTAGTAGGATTCTAGGCGAAAAAATCATTACGATTGATTTTCAATTAATAACGAAGGTATTAAAAATATATCGATCGATAGAGGGTAATTGAGGATGAAATAGTTCACGATATTCTTCGATATCGAACATTTCCACAACATTTTCATCTGTAAATACAATGTCGAGATAATGGACAAGTGTTGATTCGATGAAGAGGCGATTACATTTTGTAGTTGATAAAAGTCGATAAGGATCTTCTCGCTTCGAGCAAATATGGTACGATTTGGATAAAGATTGATAAATCACTCCACGTATAACTCGGTGTAAAATACAATCACTTATTATCAAAGCAGGAAACAAGTATTTGCCATATATATATATATATATAATTCGTCGTAAGAACGAAAAGAAAACCGAGCGACGATAAACTCGGTGTACATAATGATGTACGTATCCAAATATTTCTTTTAACTTCAACGATAAGCCCAATTATCGCTCCGATCTCTTGGATTAATTTTCACAAAAATAATATCCAAACATCCGCGCCGCGTCTCGAAACTATTTCCATCGATCTTCCCAAAAAATATTCAACGAGCCGTAACAAAAAAAAAAAAAAAGAAAATCGAAGAAACAAATCAAAAACACCAATCTATATCGCAAGGAGAGAACCAAGAGGAAAAACAGGGAGGGAGAGAGAAAGGAGAGGGCGATTTAGAGCGCGCAGAATCCGAAGGATTTTGCCAAGGATTTGCCGCGCGTAGCCCGACAACGCCGCGGATCCGTGGAAATTTCTATGGTCGAACTTAAACGAGAGTGAGTGAGTGAGTGAGTGAGTGAGTGAGTGAGTGAGTGAGAAAGAGAGAGAGAGAGAGAAGGGAAAATCGACGAAGGGGTGGCGGTTGGAAGGCGGTTGGGTAGCAGGAATGCTGATTAGTCGGTGCTCGTGCGCCGTAACACTATAACCTATCCGGGCAGGAAGACTCGAGGATAAGATTCGAGGGGGGGATTCGAGAAGGGTTGTGGAAGACGAGCGAAGAGAAAAGGGGTTCTCTATCTAGACCAGGCTGGAGGGGATGGTTGAAACGGAGAGGGGAAGGCGCAGAAGTGGGGAGAAGCCGGCGGCTTAATAGGGAGGAAATTGAGTGCTCGAGCAATATTGAGGAGGATTCGCCAGGATCGTATCCATCCATCCGTCCGTCCGTCCGTCCGCTTTCGGATTCCTCGAGCGTGCACCGGCTTCCTCCTACCACCGCCGGCGTGCGGCCAGGGATTCTCATTCGCCGTGAACGCGGAACTGAACTCAGACCCCTTCTCCCTCCCTCTTCTCCTCCCTGCCATTCTTCACGAGCAGACGGAACGAGTTCGCGTAAATTTTACCCCCCCTCGAGCGGATTTGCGGCCTTCCATCGAACTTTTACTCTACTTTTACCGAGAGTTCACAGGTTTCGATCGAAACTTCAACTCGAAGAAATTAAATCGCGACGAGATTTTCACTCGATCGATTTTAACGATCGATCGTTTGCAAATTGGTATTATATCGATTCGTATTGATCGCTCGAAATGTTAAAATTAGAAATGGAATGTTATTCGGTGGCTATAATTAGAAGCTCGATTGAAACTGACATGGATCATAAACCAGCGTTCGATACTTTTGGCAACAATACGATAATTGTCTCGTTCGTGACAAGTTTCGAACGTTTTTAATTTAAAAATTTTTATCCATCCATGATGAAAGTAACGAAGCTTATATATAGTGTCGAAAAAAAAAAAAAAAAGAACAACATTCTATGAGCGTGCACCAAATCCAATGGTGATGGTGGTGATGGTATCGATTCCGGCTGATGGGGATGCGAAATTGATTTCGCATTAGAAAAGCGGCGGGATCGCTTTTCAATTTCGATCGGCCGCGAGAAATTTCGATTGTTCGATGATGTTTGTTTTTCGTGTCATCGGCTACGTTTAATATTTAATTTGCGGGTATCGCAACTGCTCGATATAGCAATGTCGGTGGATAGTTTTCAGCCGGTAAATACAAACGGGCGAGTTACAACGAGTATGGTGTATGCGAACACGACTGTTTGTAAGTTTAATCGGTATCGAATGGGAAACACGAAAATGATCAGCTCCGTGCGCTTTGTATTTTCATATGTGTCGCGAATACACTCCTCTCCTCCTCATCCGATATCGATCGTTACGTACAATTATCATAATGCAATTAATCGAGTATTTAATTTTGTATTTAATTATTTGTCCTTACCTGTGTATACCGTTTTACACGTTACATATTTGAGGAACATCGACAAGATAGGATATGCGATATCGATTCGAATCGAGAAAAGAACACGCGAGCGAAATCAAGAAAATAAGAAATATAAAATTTCTTATATTTACTACGTTGATCTTTGCAATACACAACTTTTACTTTCTTCCTCTTTACAATCTTATTCTATCGTAATTTCGAAACGAAATTGAGTAATATCAAGTCGATTAAATCGCAATAGAATTAACAATAAGAAACGATATAATAAAACTGTGTATCGCGTAACCAAGCTTTAATCCGTTTTAAAATAAAAATTGAAACAAATCCGCAAGTTTTTCATAAAATCATCAAACGTTTGAAATATTAATAAACAGATCTCATTATTGCTCCCCTATAAACACTCCTTCATCGGTTTCGAATTCGAAATTCCCATGTCTCCCTCCCTCCCAGTCCTCCCCTCCTGAAATTTTCGCGTGTCCGATTAAACTCCAAACGGCGATATGTATGCACACACACACATATGCGCGTTCATCACAGCGGGTAATTTATCTTCCATTGGCGTGCACTCACCCCGATAATGGCGTTGAGCTCGGTCATGGTCACTTGTTTGGCTCTGTCAACAGCAGTAGCGACTTGTTGTTGGTGTTCCTGCGAGAGAAATGGCAGGATCTGAGCAATTATGGCGTTTAACCTCTTCGCTATCTCTGTCTGAAAACAGAAAGGAGAACGATCCTTATTAAAGGGTAAACCGTTTCAACGTCGGTTGATCGGCGAACCGTGCCTCTTAATTGAACTCGGGAGGATAACGATTGTCCTTTCCCCCCTCGCCCCTCACACCTTCCCTCCCTCCCTTTCTTTTCCACGTTGGTTCGAGAACCCGTTGGTATCAATCATCGAACCCGTGACACTCCCCGTGATCGTGCATTACTTAATTCGAGTTTTATTGAGTCCAGCCTCGTTTCTCGATTGATCGTTTACAGCTCGAATCGTCGGCCTGCGCGCGCGCGTGATTTATATCGCGGTTCTCGCGTCAATCCAGCGACACGCGTATAGGTAATTGACTGTTATTATCTCTCGTTCGCGTGACAGCGTGTATTCAGAGGGGATATATTCGATGGGGGAGGGGATGGGGAGTTAAATATAGATTCTGGAAATCCCTATTTCGTTGGCTGCGCGCAACATTCTCGATGCGATCATCTCCATGCATTGAAATTTTTTTTTTCGTTTTTCAACATCAATTATCACTCCTCCGTTTCTTCTTCGGGATAATTTTGGATAGATGGTCAGAGTCCGGTGGAAAGGGATTTCCATCGTGCCGTTTAATAAATGTTTCATAATTACGAAATACCCTCGAAATTTAAACGGCACACGCTATACAAAATTACGATAAATGAATAATGCAGTAAATATTATTGAATAATACAAATAATAATAATGAATGATAATATTACAACGATAATGCTGAATATTCCAATACAAATGAATAATTTACGACAAATAAAACGGGGTATAAATGGATATCCTGATATTCATAAATATCACCACCCAGCCACCCGATATTCCCGTCACGTTTGAAGTATATAATATACATATATATATTTTTTCCCCCAACATTAATAAATGCAATAAGCAAAAAGTCGATGGAGGAACATTTTTTCGCGAAACGACGATATTACGATAAAGAGGCGGGCCCGTGTTTGACCGCCGGTTAAGCGAGGTAAGGGTTGGCATAACGCCACCCCTTACGAGAGTGGAAGAATGAGTGGAGGCAGGTTGCAGGTGTGCCGTATCTGGTCGAGGGTGTTTACGACACCCTAAGGCCGGAACAGACTGATGGGGATTAAATTAAATCCACGCTGAATCGGCGGTAGCTCCCTTCTCTCGCTCTCCTCCCGGCTCAATTTTCGTCCCGACTGATGCCGACGGGCATTACCTGTATCTGCCATCACTTTGGCCGGAAATTAAGGTCGGTCGACGAGCTGGAAAAGTCATGTGTCGCGGTGACTATACCGGAAAACCGTCAAGTGTTCCGGCCAAAACTGGCGAGCGACTCTTGGTCCCCGATTGCGAGGATCGTGTGTTGTAATAGGATCAATTAGATATTGATGGGGAGGACAATGGGGGAAGTTTGTAAGTACTGGGTGACTCTGTTATAACGGAGGATTCGGAGGATGTTTTCGTAACAAGAGATCGTAACAAGAGATTTTACATTATGAAGAAATGTACATTTGAAAATGTAATGTAATGGTTTGAAAGAAAAGAAGCTAAAGAATTAAGCTATAAATGGGATACGTTTTTTTGTAAAGTTTAAGTAAAGTTTCCAACAATAAGGTTTGTGTTTTGTTTCTTCATCGTTGAACGGTAAATTTAAATTTTGCACGGGGGAGAGATTGCATTTCATCAGAGTCGAATTTTAATTGGTTTCGACTTTAACGAAGCCGCCGCATAATTGGGAATAATAATTCGATTAGCGCGTGTATTAATCGTACCACCCCTTCCCGCCAACGTTTGTACAGAGATCGCAAGGATTAATTTCGACGACGTGGATCGATTTTACCGATCGAGTCGCGCGAAGATTAATCGAGAAGCGGGAAATTTAAAACAAGTTTATAATCAGGTCGCATGGAATTCAGAGAATTCGTCGAGAATTCCGACCAATGTCATCTCTTGCAATATAATGCGTACAAATAATTGCATCCATAAAGTAATAAAAATTATGCGACATATAGAATAATTCAAAAGAATTATCGTGTAAATGTTAAATCGATAAAAAAATATTCTTTGAAACATCAAAGATTCGAATTGATAATATAATAGCAATACGTGTGTTGCGTTACAAAGAAATTCTAATAAACCGTTATAACATCATCCATGTAAAGTAAAACAACCAATCGATAACGACGACAAAGAATTTCTTATTCTGCCTCATATAATCCAACCTCACATTTCTTCAACAATTATCTTTTCATTAAAATCGTCGCACAGTTACGACACGATAACATCAAACCAATAATAAATATTTTACAGAATTCCTAGCAAACAAATAACAAACATTCCCTACTCGCGTCGCTACTTGTCCCTCCGCCGTCCCAATTCAACCGGGTGATTGAAACAGGGTTGGAAAAGAGGCGTCGTCTCGACGATCTCTCGCAGGACGTGCGTGCAAACGGAAGAGGTCCACTGTTCGCCGCGCAACAGGAAACGAAGTCGACCGACTTCGGAGAGCTGTACGAACCCGCCTCGGTAAACACCCTCCCCTCCCTCGCCTCTTCCATTTCACGCTCCCTCCCCCCGTGGGTGTCAAGCAGAGGGAACACGAGCGGGCTGCCAAGCAGCCGTTTTCACCGCCGCTTAAACGAGCCTCGGATGCTAATTGAAATATCGCGCGGCCACTAAAATTCTTGGCAAGTTTCCCTCTCTCTCTCTCTCTCTCTCGNGGGAGGGGGGAGGGGCAGTCG